CGCACGTTGTATCCGTGTGGGGAATCGAACCCGGGTCTTGGGCGTTACGAGCGAAAGCTTTAACCATTGGGCTTCCCCACCGCCCTAGGATGTATTTGAGATGGTACACACGTGTCCAGATGTTACGAACAAGTATCTTGCTTGGGTCTTCTTTCAGACTGTCAAAATTATTTGGTAAAAATGAATAAAAATCATTTCAAATGTGAGTCCCCTTCATCTGAACCATCTTAAAGAAGCATGATGTGAGTGTTGAGATTGTGGAGCCACAATGGCGTGGTGTTTCTGAACCTTATGCCACCAAGTACACCTTCTCACAAGTCCACCGAGACACACATCATCTGTCCTGTGTAGTAGGTAGGACAGATCATTCGACTGACAGCTTTAATTCTTAATTATACGACATGTCATTATTACCGTCACACATACACAGTTTGGACGTGTCAGTTCGAGCATGGAAACCATAACCGCTAGAGGGCGCCATTGATTACATCACGCGCTGAAGTCCTGCGCATGAGGTAACCCCTGGCAGCGACGGTGGATTGTCGTCTGCAGATGGTCACTTGAAGCCGGGAATAGTACCCCGCCTATCACAATATTGACTCATATCTGTCTTTTTGTATTCTGGTTGCGATATTACAGATTGTTTTCGACAAGGTAACATATTTCAACTTGCTACACTTAGGACCACCCTGCTTGCTGCCACCTCCTGCAGCCCTGTATTCTCATTTTGTTACCTTTCTACCATTGACATTCTCTCCGTCCACAGTCCCCTGTATGTGGTGAATGTAGGTTACAATACCCCCACGTCCTCGCCCCCCTATCACTCACGAGTTTCTCGCGGTTTTTCTCCAAATTGTCAATATCATTAGGGGTAAATTACAATATTTTGGTAGTCGTGTCGTCTGGCGAGTGTCTGAAAGTCGCTGGTACTTATTGCCCGATCTTTGTGGTCGAAGGCTCTTCTTCACACTTGTGACAATGGCGGGGAGAATGCGGACTGCTAAAACAAACACTGGAGGCTAGAGAGAGCGAATCATTTAGACAGACACACAGCAGAGAAGATCGTTTAGTCCTACAGGGCAGCGACAGGCTCCGCCATTAAACACACTGTAACATTTTGCCGGGCTTGCATAGAAGAAGCAGAAACTCTAACTAGCGGCGTCGCTACACCTTGACACGAACAGTCAATACGGAGTAATTAGTCCTCCTCCCTCGGCCGGCTCCAGGTAGCGACAACTCCCTAACTTGCGCTACTAACGAGGCAATACTTAGATACTCTAGAGCGACCACCATCCCCGCCCCAGACACCCGACACCCGTAGGCAAACACCCCGGGTAGCACAGCCTGCTCGGACAAACACCCAGGTGAAATGCTGGACATTGTGCAAAGGCCGACACTTCTCGAGCAGCGAGTTTAGCAACAATCAAACCCTATTAATTACCCAATGACACTGGAAATCAATTTTCCAGTTGGTTTTAGACGGACTAATGTTTGCTATCTGTGTACGACTTTGCAGCGTATTCAATTAAGGAAGACCCAGTGGGGTGGGATCTGGCCTCAGGGAGAGGCACTGCTGACTGTCAGGTAGGGAGAGATCTTCCCACAGGGAAGGGGTGCACTTGTCCTTGGAAGAATATCTGGATATGTGTGTACAGGTATGGGCACATCTGACTGTGTGAAGACAGATATGACAAGAGGTATGGGCACATCTGACTGTTATGAAGACAGATCTGACAAGAGGTATGGGCACATCGGACTGTTATGAAGACAGATATGACTGTTATGAAGACAGAGACAAGAGGTATGGGCACATCGGACTGTTATGAAGACAGATCTGACAAGAGGTATGGGCACATCGGACTGTTATGAAGACAGATCATGACAAGAGATATGGGCACATCTGACTGTTATGAAGACAGATCTGACAAGAGGTATGGGCACATCTGACTGTTATGAAGACAGATCTGACAAGTGATATGGGCACATCGGACTGTTATGAAAATAGATCTGACAAGAGGTATAGGCACATCTGACTGTTATTAAGACACACCTGACTGTTATGAAGACAGATCTGACAAGAGCTATAGGCACATCTGACTGTTATGAAGACAGATCTGACAAGAGGTATGGGCACATCTGACTGTTATGAAGACAGATCTGACAAGAGATATGGGCACATCTGACGGTTATGACGACAGATCTGACAAGAGGTATAGGCACATCTGACTGTTATGAGGGAGAGATCTGACAAGAGGTATGGGCACATCTGACTGTTATGAAGACAGATCTGACAAGAGGTATAGGCACATCTGACTGTTATGAGGGAGATATCTGACAAAGAGATATGGGCACATCTGACTTATGAAGACAGATCTGACAAAAGGTATGGACACATCTGACTCCTATGAAGACAGATCTGACAAGAGGTATAGGCACATCTGACTGTTATGAGGGAGAGATCTGACAAGGGATATGGGCACACCTGACTGTTATGAAGACAGATCTGACAAGAGGTATGGGCACATCTGACTGTTATGAAGACAGATCTGACAAGAGGTATGGACACATCTGACTGTTATGAAGACAGATCTGACAAGAGGTATGGACACATCTGACTCCTATGAAGACAGATCTGACAAGAGGTATGGACACATCTGACTGTTATGAAGACAGATCTGACAAGAGGTATGGACACATCTGACTGTTATGAAGACAGATCTGACAAGAGATATGGGCACATCTGACTGCTATGAAGACAGATCTGACAAGAGGTATGGACACATCTGACTGTTATGAAGACAGATCTGACAAGAGATATGGGCACATCTGACTTTTATGAAGACAGATCTGACAAGAAATATGGGCACATCTGACTGTCATGAGGGAGAGATCTTCTCACAGGTAGTGGTCTCATCGGATACATTTGGCTAGAGCTACAGATGGGCACGTAACTGTAATGGATTTTGACCTGGCTATCTTTTATTCTGCTAGTACACTACAGTTCATTCTGCCAATACACATTTGTTCATTCTGCCAATACACATTTGTTCATTCTGCCAATACAAAACAGTTCATTTTGCCAATACACAACAGTTCATTCTGCCAATACACAACAGTTCATTCTGCTAATACACAACAGTTCATTCTGCCAATACACAACAGTTCATTCTGCCAATACACAACAGTTCATTCTGCCAATACACAACAGTTCATTCTGCCAATACACAACAGTTCATTCTGCCAATACACAACTCTTCAGTTCTGCCAATACACAACTCTTCATTCTGCTAATACACAACAGTTCATTCTGCCAATACACAACAGTTCATTCTGCCAATACACAACTCTTCATTCTGCTAATACACAACTCTTCATTCTGCTAATACACAACAATCTGATACGCAACAGTTCATTCTGCTAAGCGCATGGGTGTCACGGTTTAGTGTCATCAAAAACAACTCATCTATTTACCTCCGTGTCATATCTGTTCTCAGGGATCGTGGGGGTAGCTTAGAGGTTAAAGCGTTCGCTCGTCACGTTGGCGACTCGGGTTCGATTCCCCACATGGGCCCAATATGTCAAGCCCATTTCTGGTGTCCCCTGCGTGATATTGCTGGAATGTTGCTAAAAGCGGCATCAAAACCCAACTCACTCACTATCTGTTCATCATCGCTTCATCAATATCAAACTGCAATACTGATAACAGCGTATAAATAACATATAGCAACGAATACATAATTTCGGATATTGTAATCACGTTGAACATTAAACTGAATATATCAGTGATACTATCGGATACTTAAGCGGTCAATATGAATAATCAGCTGTGTACATACGGGGATGATATCGACATCTAATCAACAAGATAAACATAAAGCTTAATATTGATATCGGGCACTAAGTAGATCATTATGAACATTAATCTGTGGCTATTGACAATATCAGGGTCCTTGATATACATGCAGGGTTGTCAGCATGATGGATGCATAAAATAAAATTTGGAAACGAATTTTCCCCATTTTTTCATATGATGCCGTAATGACATTTTACCCAACCAATATTTTAATATTTTCTTTAAAAGACGCCGATTTGGTTATTAAGAAATGTAGATATTGTTTTCATAAATCTTACTTTATAATATATTCATTAAAAACCGTTGATGTATTTTCAAGGTAAAGATTTTATTTATAGTTTCACAATAGACAATATTATACGTAAAAGTTGAAGAATTTACAATAGTGAACAAGTATATATCCCAATAAAAGTCGGAGTTACTCGCGAACACCCGGTGTCATCACTGTTTTTCGGTGATCCATTCAAAAATTAAATATAAAAATACTAAAAGACATTGGTTCTGAGGACAGAGCTGCTTATCCTTTACATTATAAACACAATTACATGTGTGTATTTGGGTAACTGATTATTTATTTTGAGAACCATTTCCATATCAGAGGCAATTCCGTTAATGGTATTCGTCCTACAACCTTAAGTGTTCCCTGAATAGCATTAAATCGAAAATGTTCAGCAATACATTTCCAACCTTCCGTAATGAATGGACCTACATCAGAATTTGAACATTCCAGTAAGAAATATCTTGTCCACCTTTCATCACACAAAACGTTGTTCTCGTCGGTTTAATTGATCTATAGTACTTGTATTCTCTTCATCCCTCTAGCCGAACAACGGGGATATAAATTGCGGAGACAGGAGATTACATTCAAATATATTTCTATTGAAACTTGAAACATCATCTGATGGTGCGACGGGAGGGGAGTGGAGACGAGCTGTCAACCTTCAGTCGTACAGATATTGCCGGAGAGCGCCCCGACTCTAACTACTTGAGACAAGCGGCGGCGACGGGGACAACAGGGAGCTGACAGCTCGGTGTGACCGTCACTGAACACTGTCACATCTCCTTGCCCGTCACGTCACACTGCCAGCTCCATGGATACAGTAGCAAAGGGGATGAAGGGGCAGAGGAGAGTTGGATGGTGGGGAGGTTAGGGTCTGGTGCAGCAGATGGAGAGACGTGTATGGGCTGGTGTAGAATATGGAGAGAAGAGTAGGGTCCGGTGTGGCAGATGGAGGGAAGAGTAGGATCCGGTGGAGCAGATGGAGGGAAGAGTAGGGTCCGGTGTAGCAGATGGAGGGGAGAGTAGGGTCCGGTGGAGCAGATGGAGAGAAGTAGGGTCCGGTGTAGCAGATGGAGAAGAGTAGGGTCCGGTGTAGCAGATGGAGGGAAGAGTAGGGTCCGGTGTAGCAGATGGAGGGAAGAGTAGGATCCGGTGGAGCAGATGGAGGGAAGAGTAGGATCCGGTGGAGCAGATGGAGGAAGAGTAGGGTCCGGTGGAGCAGATGGAGGAAGAGTAGGAAGTGTAGCAGATGGGAGTAGGGTCCGGTGGAGCAGATGGAGGGAAGAGTAGGATCCGGTGGAGCAGATGGAGAGGGAAGAGTAGGATCCGGTGGAGCAGATGGAGGAGAGAGAAGTAGGGTCCGGTGGAGCAGATGGAGATGGAGGGAAGAGTAGGGTCCGGTGTAGCAGATGGAGGGAAGAGTAGGGTCCGGATGGAGCAGATGGAGGAAAAGAGAGGATCCGGTGTAGCAGATGGAGAGGGAAGAGTAGGGTCCGGTGTAGCAGATGGAGGGAAGAGTAGGGTCCGGTGTAGCAGATGGAGGGAAGAGTAGGGTCCGGTGGAGCAGATGGAGGGAAGAGTAGGGTCCGGTGTAGCAGATGGAGGGAAGAGTAGGATCCGGTGGAGCAGATGGAGGGAAGAGTAGGATCCGGTGTAGCAGATGGAGGAAGAGTAGGGTCCGGTGGAGCAGATGGAGGGAAGAGTAGGGTCCGGTGTAGCAGATGGAGGAAGAGTAGGGTCCGGTGGAGCAGATGGAGGGAAGAGTAGGATCCGGTGTAGCAGATGGAGGAAGAGTAGGGTCCGTGTAGCAGATGGAGGGAAGGGTCGGTGGGCAGATGGAGGTAGGGTCCGGTGGAGCAGATGGAGGGAAGAGTAGGGTCCGGTGGAGCAGATGGAGGGAAGAGTAGGGTCCGGTGGAGCAGATGGAGGGAAGAGTAGGGTCCGGTGTAGCAGATGGAGGGAAGAGTAGGATCCGGTGTAGCAGATGGAGGGAAGAGTAGGGTCCGGTGTAGCAGATGGAGGGAAGAGTAGGGTCCGGTGGAGCAGATGGAGGAAGTAGTAGGATCCGGTGTAGCAGATGGGGAAGAGTAGGGTCCGGTGTGGCAGATGGAGGAAGAGTAGGGTCCGTGGAGCAGATGGAGAGAAAGAGAGGGTCCGGTGGAGCAGATGGAGGGAGAAGAGTAGGATCCGGTGGAGCAGATGGAGGGAAGAGAGGGTCCGGTGGAGCAGATGGAGGAAAAGTAGGGTCCGGTGCCAGCAGATGGAGAAGAGTAGGATCCGGTGGAGCAGATGGGAGAGGAAAGAGTAGGGTCCGGTGTAGCAGATGGAGAAAGAGGGTCCGGAGAGTAGGGTCCGGTGGAGCAGATGGAGGAGAGTAGGGTCCGGTGGAGCAGATGGAGGAAAGTAGGATCCGTGTGCAGATGGAGGGCAGATGGCAGATGGAAGAGTAGGGTCCGGTGTAGCAGATGGAGGGAAGTAGGGTCCGGTGTAGCAGATGGAGGGAAGAGTAGGGTCCGGTGGAGCAGATGGAGGGAAAGTAGGGTCCGGTGGAGCAGATGGAGGGAGAGTAGGGTCCGGTGGAGCAGATGGAGGGAAGTAGGGTCCGGTGGAGCAGATGGAGGAAGAGTAGGGTCCGGTGTTTAGCAGATGGAGGGAAGAGTAGGGTCCGGTGGAGCAGATGGAGGAAGAGTAGGATCCGGTGTAGCAGATGGAAGAAGAGTAGGGTCCGGTGTAGCAGATGGAGGAAGAGAAGGGTAGGGTCAGATGGAGAGAAGAGGTGCAGATGGAGGAGAGTAGGGTCCGGATATAGCAGATGGAGGGAAGAGTAGGGTCCGGTGTAGCAGATGGAGGGAAGAGTAGGGTCCGGTGTAGCAGATGGAGGAAGAGTAGGGTCCGGTGTAGGGGAGGAGGAAGTAGGGTCCGGTGTAGCAGATGGAGAGAAGAGTAGGGTCTGGTGTAGCAGATGGAGAGTAAGAGCAGAGGGAAGAGGTGTTTAGCAGATGGAGGGAAGAGTAGGGTCTGGTGTTGGAGACAGAGGAGTAGGGTCTGATTTAGATCCGGTGGTGGAGAAGGGAAGAGTAGGGTCTGATTTAGAGGAGATGGAAGAGTAGGGTCTAGGGTGTAGACAGGAGGATGAAGGAAGAGTAGGGTCTGATTTAGTGAAGGAAGGTAGGGAGAGGTGAAGGGAAGAAGTAGGGTCTGATTTAGGAGGATGGAGGAAGGAGTAGGGTCTGATTTAGAGGATGAAGGGAAGAGTAGGGTCTGATTTAGAGGATGAAGGGAAGAGTAGGGTCTGGATTTAGAGGATGAAGGAAGAGTAGGGTCTGATTTGGAGGGTGAAGGAAGAGTAGGGTCTGATTTAGAGGGTGAAGGGAAGAGTAGGGTCTGATTTAGAGGATGAAGGGAAGAGTAGGGTCTGATTTAGAGGGTGAAGGGAAGAGTAGGGTCTGATTTAGAGGATGAAGGGAAGAGTAGGGTCTGATTTAGAGGATGAAGGAAAGGGTAGGGTCTGATTTAGAGGGTGAAGGGAAGGGTAGGGAGGGTCTGATTTAGAGGATGAAGGGAAGAGTAGGGTCTGATTTAGAGGGTGAAGGGAAGAGTAGGGTCTGATTTAGAGGGTGAAAGGATGAGGGTCTGAAGGGTGGGTAGGGTCTGATTTAGAGGGGATGAGAAAGGGAAGGGTAGGGTCTGATTTAGGAGGATGAAGGGAAGAGTAGGGTCTGATTTAGAGGATGAAGGGAAGAGTAGGGTCTGATTTAGAGGATGAAGGGAAGAGTAGGGTCTGATTTAGAGGGTGAAGTCTGATTTTGAGGTGGTAGGGTCTGATTTAGAGGGTGAAGGGAAGAGTAGGGTCTGATTTAGAGGGTGAAGGGAAGGGTAGGGTCTGATTTAGAGGATGAAGGGAAGGGTAGGGTCTGATTTAGAGGCTGAAGGGAATAGTAGGGTCTGATTTAGAGGGTGAAGGGTAGGGTCTGATTTAGAGGGTGAAGGGAATAGTAGGGTCTGATTTAGAGGGTGAAGGGTAGGGTCTGATTTAGAGGATGAAGGGAATAGTAGGGTCTGATTTAGAGGATGAAGGGAATAGTAGGGTCTGATTTAGAGGGTGAAGGGTAGGGTCTGATTTAGAGGGTGAAGGGAATAGTAGGGTCTGATTTAAAGGGTGAAGGTAGGGTCTGATTTAGGCTGAAGGGAAGAGTAGGATCTGATTTAGAGGCTGAAGGGAAGAGTAAGGTCTGATTTAGAGGCTGAAGGGAAGAGTAGGCTCGGATTTTGAGAATGAAGGGAAGGGTAGGGTCTGATTTAGAGGGTGCAGGGGAGAGTAGACTCTGATTTAGAGGATGAATGGAAGGGCAGAGTCTGATTTAGAGGGTGAAGGGAAGAGTAGGCTCTGACTCAGTTGGAGAAGGGAAGAATGGTTGATGAAGGCCTCGAGGCCCCTCTTAGTGTCATAATCTGGAAGTTTAGGACACTGAAGGAGCAGGTTAGTACTTTGTATGCCTTTGGAGCTGCAATTGATAAAGGCATTAGACCAGGAGATGTGTATATCAATACTATTATATGGGTAGAAATATGTCGACTACAGCACACACACAGAGGTAATTCCATCATAGAATACTAGTAGAAGTATAACGATATGGGTAGAACAGTATTCACTTGAGGACATAGGTAAATGCATTTCCATTAAAGGGGACTTGAAGAAGTACATCAATGTAATAAGATAGAACTCGGATGTATGGGTAGTGATATGAACATGAAGCTGCCTGAGCAGGAGTGCAGTGTAATGATGATATGAGTAGGACTATATCTACTACGGTGCATGGGTTGAGATATTGTTATGATAGATCATGATAACAACAAATGTCATGCATTCTATGACGGAAATACACATGGTATACATACAATCAACACTCACTCATCTGACTGACATTTCAATATATACGCGAGGGGCGGTGGGGTAGCCTAGTGGTTAAAGCGTTGGCTCGTCACGCCGAAGACCCGGGTTCGAATCCACACATGGGCACAATGTGTGAAGCCCATTTCTGGTGTCCCCCGCCGTGATGTTGCTGGAATATTGCTGAAAGCGGCGTAAAACGAAACTCAGTCAGTCAGTCAATATATACGCTTAGAGATGTGATACAAATCTTTAACCAGGAAGTCAAGGTGCTGAGTGAGCATCTATGGCTGTGAAGGCAACACGCCATGGTACTGTTGGGAAGCGCGACGATACGCCGGTGGAGATCGGAGGTTACTACAAACGTTGACATGTACAGAAAACGACTGTCACAACTCCAATAGAGGATGCTGAAATGGAGACCCCAAACGGAGACCCACACGATACTCTGGCGGAGATTGAAGTTTACTACAGACATCGTGGCTGGGAAATAATGGCGGAGCATCATGTTGACATGCTGTACAGAAAACGACTGTCACAACTCCAATGCTCACAATCTTATAGAGGATGCTGAAATGGAGACCCCAAACGGAGACCCCAAACGGAGACCCACGCAGGAAGCGGCATCACAACACAGAGACCGTGGCAGGGTAGTTGCCTGTGATTTATGGAGCCGGCAACTTGACAAATTGAACGAGGTGTTATATACCATGGCGGGTTGTGCGGAGATGGGGGCAGTACCCGGATAGATGACGACAGTGTCGCTACTCTCTGTCCCTGCCTCACGACACCCAGATAACATCGCGTCAGCAACTCGAACCGGGATAAAAGTGGGGCCACAAAGATTGTGTGAGGTTCTGCTCCAACTCCCGTCTGACGGTGGCCTCTCTACTTATATACATTATTTCGATATTACAGATAAGCTTGCCGCTATAAAAGCCTGGGTGGTCCCATCAACATGGCTGCCAGGAGTCCTGGTGTTGAATTAAGTCAGGGGAACTTATACTATCTGCTTTTAATAAGATTGTCGATGCCGGCCCGATAAGCTGCATCCTAAACTACATCACGGCCAGACTGATAGATCCAGGACAGAGGTTCTACTTTCGCTGAGATCGAGTTGCCATGGTAACATAATACGATGCTATTCAAATTGTGCATTTATTTATACTTTAATTGATTTTATGCAAAAAAAGGGAAACATTTACCAACGGCATTGCCTAATATTGTTGAACGTGTGTATGTTACCGAATTGTAATCTCAGGGCGACTTGCAAAAAATAGCAAGTGACAAACTGTTTTTATTTTCAGATTCATATTTGTTTTCTGTTTATCACGTCTGTTGATGTTCATGTCGACTGTAATGATACAACGCCTATTTTGGGATTTTCGATTGCACAAATATATTTTTTGTAGGTCAAATGGGGTTAATATGCTTGTAGTTTTTAGAAGTGTAAAATAATGAACTGTGTGTTTGGGGTAACTGTTAAAACTATGACATATATATTATTGATTATATCTAATTTTTACACCTTTCTGTTGTTATTGTGTATGCATTAAAATCCATTTGAATTTAATTTTTTTAAAAGTAGTGATTTGACATTTTAAACGTTAGGGAAAGATTTTAGTGTAATTTTTCCTAAGCCATTTTTGTTCACAAAGTATATGTAGACAAGACTACATTCGCTGGACACAATGTAGAAACAACGATGTGATAAGAAAGAGTTTCACACACAATCTCTTCAGGAAGGAATTTTCCGAACCGTTTCATTAAAATATTTAATATTTTCAGCAGGCATGTGAAATATACTGTATCATGTAAAATCTTACGTGAAAGAATAAGGTAAAATATATATGGCAGGGTAGTTGTTAGATTGTTAGAAACTATATAGGTAAGTTTCATGTTTAACGTAAGGCATAATATTGTATGTAATGGAAGTTGCACATACAGTTTAATCGACTCTAATCTAATCTGTTTAGCTTTTACACAAGTTGCAGAATAATTAATTACGATAAAAGTTTAAAATAGTTCACAGTTGTTTCAATTAGCAGCACGAATCTCACATGTCAATTCTAAATAAAATTTGATTCACTCCGAATATTACATCCCCGTTTAATCTTCGTCAATTTCGAAATGATTAATTCAAAAGAATTTTATAACCGTTAAATTGTAGTATGATATATTTATACATCATTATATTAACACGTGGAAAATATAACATGGTGTTGGGAATAAATGTATTCTCTTAATTCACAATGGAATTGTGGAAAACTATTTATCCATATTTCACACACGAAAGGCCTAGAAAAACTTTCTCTTCAGGACGGTATAAGATTACTCTGAAATAATGCTAGGATGTAACACTGTCTTATGTAACCTTACGCGAGTGCATCCTAGAGTGTGGTTACCATACAATGTGTTGCGCCGCACGTGTTACCTATATCCTACTTCCAGCATCGTTTGCCTTCTCGTAACTCGAACTATTTATTACAGCTTGCTTCAAAGAACGCTAATTTCTCATGTTAATTGCTTTTGAAAATTTCTCTGCAATAAATTTGCCCCGTCTGTCAACTAAGTTAATAGGATGGTAGGGAAACTAACAGAATAGGAGAATTTATATGTTGTTGAACGTGTGTTAAGTGTTGAGGATGTTCTGCACATTACTGTGTTGAACATCAGGTGATTTTGAACCAATAAACAACATACTGGTGAAAGAATTAGTGTTGGTAAACTGATGTGTAAGCGCAAATAATATAAACTTATTAACCATAACATGAAATAACCAGACATGCTATTAAAATATATATACAATAATAACGATTGTAGATATTATCACACAAACCGAATTGTCGTTTTTTTTATATGATATCCTTTAAATAAGATAATTTAAGGATTTTTTAATAATATCACAATATCTCTGTGTATATGTTTGCTGTTTTAATGACGTTAACGTACAGATTAAAAAATGTGAACATATAACGTAATGCTTGTTGGTATTTCTTAAAAACAATATTCCTGCTGAGAATTAACTTTCAATGTTTACAGCTTGTCATTTTCAATTTGTACAGTTAGTAGATGTAATGGTAAATAGGGTTCTGTTTGTTGCACCACGTATTCTACATTGAAGATGACACAGACTGTCCAATTGATACAAATATAATTCTTTCACTTTAAAAGTAAACGTATATGAAAGTATAGTGCTAAATGCTTTCGTTTCTTATATGGATGTCTTATCATTAAGATATGACGATAAATTATGGTACAAACACAATGATTCGTTTTATCATAACATGAAATAATAAATTAACTATTGTCACAGATGTATTAGTTCTGCTTCATGCATGAAGTACTACTTCAATAAAATCTACTGCATTATGGCATACAATATACAACAGGTGTTTCTTCTGTTGTCCACACTTCATAAAACTGTTTCTATTTTCATACAAAAAAATAGTAGACGATGCTAAGTATCCGTGAATTCTTCCGTTTCCGTATTTGGTGTCCTCTGACAAGATACCGCTGGTATTTTTGTTAAATATGCAATAAAGCAACGGTTTTCGTCCTCTCGATTCCATCATTATTTATCATTTATTAAAATGAATAAATCAATAATGAATAATATTAAAATTTAATAGTTTGTATTTACTAAAACACCTACGATGTTTCCAAAACAGACAAACTCTGTTTACAATTTACACAATGCAAGTTAGTGACACATAAATTCGCGAAGTATCAGGACGATGCATCATGTATACCTTTTGAGGTCAGTGTTATTCTCTATGTCAGGATGGCGGCTATCTGTGAATTGTCCATGAATTTACAGCAGCACCGGTTCCCATAATCACCGAATTTTCATTCACTTAGGATACACTTAGTATGGTCATACTGATGAGCTATAAGCAATACGTTCTTTCTGTAAAATTATCACTTGATCTCGTCGAAATCCCGATACTTGCAGTTAGGTAATGGCTACGTTTTCTTCATAGGTCTGTGATATGTAGGCTTTCATGCTCTTCAAATGACTCCAGGCTGTTCTACCAGTTGTATATGGTGTTATGGTCTTATAATGTCTATGGAAGTGATCTATATATTAAACATCAAGAACATTTAGGATGTTTATATTCCGACACTCGGCGGTAGAGTTTGCTCACATACTATTTGTACGCCGACCGACTCTGGTTGGGAGTAAATAGAAACTTACACAATATATCTGGAGCTAGCCCAGGTAGATTTATCTCCCTTGCTTCGCGCTCCATCAACCAACCTCGTAAAAAGACAAATATTAAGTACCCACAATATGTTTAGATTGATAATTAGTATATAGAAAGAATAACATCTCATATCATCCGTTTGATAAGCCAATGAGTACACATGGGTATTCTGTATCGTTAATTTCTTTTGTAGTATTAAGAACAGTGCCTCGATAATTTACGGTGCCTCGGTGAGATTATAAAACACTCTTTTCAGTTTTATAATCTCACCGAGAAAGTTCAATTATTTTCTGTTTCATACACTGAATCTATGTGGTGATTAGAGATGACGAAGCGGAGACTGATACCCTTGAGAAATACTTTTTAATCGAGACTGATTTTCCCCCGTATATTTCGATGTGTTATTCTTCAAACTTAACAAATATATAACATTGTGTTTCAGTAATAGTCAAATACGCGTCAAAGGGGAGTTAAAAGTTGTCTGTTTTCTAATGGCGGTTCTACATATGAGCAGTTACTGATATAAAGCGTGCAGGCAGGCCCATGAGTGACTGTCAACTAACTCCCGACTTACACATAAGCTGAGTATACCTGCTACAACAATGAACATTAGGAAATGTATACTAACACGAAATTTGCCAAATGAACAATACATTGATATGTATGTATTATGTGTGCATTTCAGATTCAAAATCACTCATAATAATAAATAGAACAACAAAATCCTTTCCACACCCATAAGAAATATCTGCTAAAAGCTGATTCGTTTGTACCGATTATATCACGAGCATGTGTTTTAAGAATCACAATCAAAATAGTGATGAGACCAGGCATTCGTGAAAAGGTGAGCATATCCTGCAACGCTAACAATAAAATCATTGACAGCTGTAATAATGAGGATGTTTGCAATTTTAATTACATGCTATTTAAATGTTAAATTTGCAACACTTAAAAGAAATTAACTTATTCAGTTACGTGTTATATTCGAAATTCTATTGAAATAAATCGTTGGGCAATTGAAACAGTTTAACACTTTAATTTCTGACAGTATCCCTTACAAAGGCCCAGACAATTGTATTTATAATCATGATATTAAAGAGTAAGGGTTTCAACATAAATGTCTTCATATGTTAAAGTCTACCTTAGTATCTTTCATCTATTACTACGGCACTGAACAATAAATAAATATTTAACGAAGTAGAAAATAATTGCTGCATCATCATCATCATCATCATCATCATCATCATCTTGCATTTTGTCAAATTAATTTTCAGTTAGCTCTTTTCAAAGTTATAGAATAATTGAACATACAAGCTTTGAGAATTTTAAAAACATTTGAAACTGAATGTGTCTATACTTGTAAATCTAAAATAATTTCTCTATGAATTTTCTCCCGCTGTTTGTCTCCTTATAGCAATTTGTCACATGAATGACTGAGGTATGTACGTGGAAGTGACGCTGGTTGTAATCTGTATATGTCTGTTAAAGACAGGCCAGGCTGTATATAATTTCCCGGCAGGAATATCCGCTTGATAATCTGCTTATTTCGGTATCTGACTGACCTGTTGATGAATGAATGAACCTATGCCAGTGT